GTGTGGCTGCTGTGTGTGTGTGTGTGTGTGTGTGTTGTATCCTGACAGAGCGAGGATGAATTGTGCTGTGGGTGACAGCTTCAACAGATGTTCTAAATGAAGTACTTTTCTACTCTCCGTGCTCCTTGTTTGTCGTACTGGAGTTCCACACACACACACACACAGTTGGCGTGGTCGGGGGTCTGGTATTAGAGCAGAAGAGCTGTCAGATATGGGGTGTTGGGAGGAGGATGGGAGGAAGGTTGGGAGGGGGGAGGCGGGGGAGGCTGTCAGAAGCTGCAGACGAGGACAGATCGCAGTAGAGTTACAACCAACATTTATTTGGAGCCGACATGAGTTTTGCCGCCTGTCAGGAGTCGGGTTTTGGTTCACGGCTTGACAACAGCCAACAGAAAACACACAGCGGCTTTTTCTGAAATCAAAAAAAGAGAAAAGAGTTTTACTGCACACTGCTGCTGTTGGAAACCTGGCGAAGAGCTGCTACAAACAACTAATGCCAGAGATAAGACCTCTTCAACCTGTGAATACATTTGTAGTCCATTATCTGAAGGGATAATGCACATGAACCTCAACAGGCCAGAGGAAAGTTTTGTATAAAAGATTGGCAGCAGTGGGAGTAAAATCTGTGAACACCCCCCCCCCTTCTCTCCTGCTGCCTCGCTGCTGTTGGTGTCAGGTAGTTCTATTTTTCTCTGGACAAACATATCTGTAATCCCACTCCTCACAATAAACAGCACAACAACAACAACAGCAAAATTGGGAGAGCATACGAGACGAGGTCCATACTGAGGCTGCGTTCACACTCCTTAATGCTCAGTCCGGATTTATTGATAGCTGTTCACATTATTTTATAAATGGGGTTCAAATCACACTCCAGTGTGAACAGGTCAGGGTCCTGAAGTGACCTACATGACAAATGTCAATCTAGAGTGACGTAAATCCACATGACTCCTGACTGTTGGACACATTATGAAAATTGAGGCCTGTATCTATTTGGACCACATATTAGTGGCCTCGAGAATTGTAAAGATCAGATTCCATGTAATTTGTGCTGTTCAAAAACAAATCATGTCATCATCATGCCTGCAGTGTGAATGAAGCCTAAACCAGCGGATATAGAAAAAGAAAGAAAACAGAACAGTAAGTGTGTGGAAACGGTCTTTTACACTAGTTGTTATTGTGAAGATGTCTCTCCAAACTGGAAGTATTTCTACTACTTTATACTCCTCCACTGCACTTCAGGGGCAAGTATTTATTATATTTAATACGTTTATTTGACAGCTTTAATTACCTTGCAGATTCAGATTAATAATACAAAATGACATCTGCACTGTGTCATCGGCTGTATTGTGTAGTAAGTGCACTTTATTTTTTTTAAGGCTGGATTGAAAAATAAACTTGAACTTAAAAACACTCACTAGTTTTACTTCGAGGTCACTAATTAAAAGATTCTACTCGGGCAGGAACAGGACTCACAGTTTGATGTGAAACAAAAGGAAATCCTCCTAAATATAGTAAATGAAAATGAACACAGAGGAAATGTGTAATTGGCTTCATTGAGGACTGTTGTTCTACACTAAATCATGTCAATTTTTTACAGCTCAGTGATATAAAACAGAGTGGTGTGTTTGGGGTCTGTCTGATTATTAAACCACACTGCCCCCTGTGGGCACCAAATGGGAACAACAGCCAGAGTTTAAAACACACTGCTGCTGTCTGTACGAGGACACTGTTGTGCTCCTAGAAAATAGTTTTCTCTCAAACCAGAAGGGTAAGCTTTATTCTGGATGTTATTTTTGCACCTGTTTTAATTCTTAATTTAGAACTACAGATTTTTTTCTGGGTTAGGGTTAAGGGGACATGATGTTTTACATTTTATAATTTAAAGGTACATATAATGTATTAATATTTTTAAGGGAAGATACCACTATTATTTAGACTGATAAGGCTTAAATTCAATTTGTTGGCCAAGAAAGATGCAAAAGAAATGTATGTATAAGTAGAACAATTAGCAGAATTCATGGAGGAATAGAGAACAATCTTAAGAAACAACTTTTACATCATGTAGAAAATTCATTGACATGCAGCTTTTTTTAAATAAAATAACACAGAAAAAATATTCAAATTAATAGAACTTTTTACCATATTTTCATTCCTCTTCAAAATGAAGTGGTAGAGTGGTTATTATTTCAGGTTCTATTAGTTTGTGAGAAGAAAAATGCCAAAATGGTTCCATGTAGCTTCTTAATTGTGAGAATTTGCTGCTCTTCTCTGCTTAATGTCTGTAAAATGAAAATCTTTTGTGTCTTTTAGCGGTTGGTCAGACAAATTGAGCAGTTTTAAACCATCCTTGCAGCACTGATGCCCAGTTAGAGAACTGTGATGCTGCCTGCTTCTGTTTATCCTCTGCAGCTTTAACTTCAGCACAGGAGGTTGGAACTGTCCGCTCAGGTTTGAACAGAGCAGATATTCTTGTGCCAAAGCAAGAATCCTTCCTGGACCCTGACTCTGTCTAGAGTGAGAGGTTCAACACGTTAAAGCAGATATTTTGCTACGAAGTGTTCTACCTGCCTCATTCACTTCCACAACAGTTAGTGTTTGCTGTGAACTTGTTGCTTCTAAGTTCACACCTCTTTATCAAGATTACACCCTTTATGGAAGCCCTGGCATCGTCCTGTAAGGGCCTTTGTGTGTTTACGTCTTACATCACAGAACCTAATGTCTACTGTTGCCGTTTTATGACGATGTTGTTGTGATTAGATCAGAAGCTAAATTAAATGAAAGCACACACAATCCCAAAATATACAGTGTTCTGCCTTATACGCATTAGGGCTCCTAACGAAGGTGAAATAATTACTGTGAGTACTGAAAATTATGGAAACCCAGAGAGGCAAGCGAGGAAAAACTAAAATCTGGTGATCTATTATGGAAGTCTGATCTAAATTGTTTTGCTGGGATAATAAGGTCTTTAAATTTATTTTATTTTATTTTCCCAAAACATTTTTCCATTTAACAAAATAAGCAACATTTTTCTGAAGCATTCATGTTTATTGTCTCAACTCAAATTGCCATACAAGAACTTGGCCATAATAAAATAATACAGTACAACTTGAACCAAATATCTGATCATAGAACATAAACACAAGAAAAGAATCTGACAAAATATTCACGTCCAACTTTTTGTCCGTTTTTCAAAGTTACGTCTGCTGTACACACACAATTCAGTTTGTACTCAGAGGGTATACAAATAAGTTTAAAAAAAGATAAAGAAAAATAAGTTTTTGTTCTCAGCTCTTGTGTCTTAAAGCCTCAGGTTCAAACCAGCTTGTTTCCTCACAGTATTCTCACAGTGTTTCAGGGAGGACTTTTCCTTTTTGGTTGCTCATGTCTCTGGATCTTCCTCTATGATTTTGGAAGCTCTGAACATTTTTTCCTGCCTCTTAAAATTCTGTTGCATTTTCCCTGCCATGCCTTCCTGCAACCAGGAGATTGAGGAGGTAGGACCTGCCCCGTCTGTCTGTCTGTATGACTGTCTGTACGTCTGTCTGTCTGCAGCTCTGTGTCCACCTGGCTGACTGCCTGCTTCACACCTTATAGTTGCCTCATTGCACCATTTGGTTCACATATTTATCATTGTTTAGTTGAATACTTTCATGATGCCATTCATTTTTTCGTTTGTTTGTCCTGCCGTCAAACAGTCCAGAGTCACATGAATTAGTTTGTCAGAGTAGGTCAGAGTTTCTCAAATTTGCCTTTTGGAGTAACTAAGAGCCTTTTTCTGATCATCTTTCATTTTGGGTTTGATAGTTTGACCTGAATCTCAAAATCAAACAACAGACAAACCCTTTCATGTGACAACGTAGATCATCTAGTCGAACAAAGTTTTTATTTGCAGCTACGTGGATTATAGAGCATAGATTCTTTCCTCTTTATTCATGGCAACCTCATATAACCAGCGAATAAAGCTAATTAAGTGCCATCATTATTTCAACCTATTAAAGACTCATTTAACCAGGCGGTTGTTGTGTTAGTTTGGTTAATATCAATAACTTCAATTAACAAACATCATCTAAACTACAAGTATCAACACTGTTGAGTCAGTTCATAACAGAGATGGAAATACATGACTCATCAGGTCATTATTTTACAAATCTTGTAAACTTGCTGCAGGAAACGTTTAAAAGCTGAGCACCAAACCAACATCCGAATGATAAATCTTTGGAACTTTAACACTTGCTTTGTACAATAAGTGAAGACATTTTGAAAGCTGAAGTTTACTCAACGTTAAAATAATGTCCTCTGACCGTCACAGTGCATTCAGTATGAAGTCAGTCACATCTCTGAGTGGCTGACTGCTTCCTGGTTTTTCATTCAAACTAAATTATAGTCTTGTTATTTTTTGCTGTTATGGGATTAAAATATTGTTTTGTTGAATACATCCGTTCAGAATTGAAATTTGTAAGAAAGATAGAAAGTTGACAGTTTGAAAGGTGATCTTTGCCAGATTAAATTGACACCTTTTTAAAAGATTGATTTCACTTTACCCTTCAAATTGACTATCCTTAGTCGACTGAACTCTCTGAACACACTTTGACAGATTCTTTTTTAAATCAGCAGTGGGGCTCGGCCGATATAACAAGACATTGCAGTACAGACCAACCTAGGTTTGAGGTCTCAGTTACAGTTTGTACACCAGAAACCATCAACAGGTAGATTTTTCAACTGTGAAATGTTCTTCTCAGTGCGTATCTTGGCCACAATTACACTGAATTAAACAAGAATTTAAAAAATTTAACTAAATCTAAACCAAAAAAAATCCTGTCAAGACATTTTATGTCATGTGTTATCAGATTTTTATTTAAACTCCCAAATATTGAAATAAGTATCAGCCCCAAAGTATTTGCCAGACAATAATCAGGAGAGTTATACAGTGTGGACAGTTGATTGTGTTATTGTCGTTTTTGCTGAAATTTGGGTAAACGGACACTTTAATACCTAATACCTGTAACAATCTGAAGGTTGCATAAAGATTTAAAGATTTACAGGTGAGAATCTATTCATCATAATATCTGAGTGGACCAACAAGGTTCCTTATCTGAAATGGGGATGCAAATTCTGATTTAAATGCAAATAATTAATGTTGTCTTTCTGTGTGCGTGTGCGCGTGTGTGTGTGTGTGCGTGTGTGCGTGTTTCAGCTGGAGGGGAAGGTCCAGCAGGGAGAGAGAGACTTTGAACAAATCTCCAAAACCATACGCAAAGAAGTCAGCAGGTTTGAGGTGAGAGGATTTGATGGATGGAGATGGGAATGGGAAGGATGGATAAATGAATGTTCATCTGTTAATGTGAGGTTCATCCTGAAATTCTCTGTATATTCAAAAATGTTACTTTGATCCTTTGTTTTTGTTTTTTTCAACAGAAAGAGAGAGTGAAGGACTTTAAAACGATCATTATCAAATATCTGGAGTCACTGGTTCAGACACAACAGCAGGTAAAGACAAAGACAATAGTTTTGTTTGACAGAATTCTAATTTCATTGTAATGTTCATTTTACATACAATTTAATTTGTATTATGGCAGTGTTATTATGCCTAGAAGTACATTATTTGTCTATGCAGTAATTATGCATTTTTCAAACATGATTTAAACTGTTTATTATGTCATACATTATGTGCACACAAAGGTCAGTTTTGTTAAATTATTCAATAGTGGCAACCACAGACTTCCATACATGAGAGCTTGTTACATATAATTTTAACCAATACAAATTCATACAGATAGAACCACAATGAATGAAAAGTGAATCTTCTTTCTTTTTCTCCTACAGCTGATAAAATACTGGGATGCCTTCTTACCTGAGGCCAAGGCCATCTCATAGAGTCCGCACATACACAACAGACAGTCCTGACTGGCTCCGGTCAAACAACACTACCCATAATGCACCTGTTCTCCCGGGTCACTGTCATCCTCCTGTTTGTGCCCAGAGTGAAGAAGAGAAGTGAGACAGTGAATCAGCTGGAAGTGACTTTTCTGCAGTTATAAAAATCAACAACAAAACTCTCTTGAACTCACAGTTCACCATCTTTCAGTCCTCTCTTTTCTTTCTGCTGAGCTCAGTGCTGTATTCACGTTCTGTGAGAATCATTGTCCTCCTGATTGATGCTTTCACAATTATAGTATACAGTTTTGCACTCCTCATTCTATTTCCTTGTTAGTGTTAATACAAATTAAGTCTTAATTTAAAAAAAACCCATGTGGGATTTTTCAAACCGAAAGCTCATAATCACGTAAGACATGAATGCAGCACTAATTATGATCCTTGTGATGGCTTTCCTCTACACACAAACAGATTCTAATATGGTGTCAGTTTTTATAGCTGGAGCACTTGTTAATTTATTTTTTCACCAGACACAAGGTGAATGGGTGAGTAGAGAAGTAAGTGGAGGAATTTCACTATATTGTATTTGAGTTTATTTTAGGGATAACACCAATGTCCATCAACAAAGACAGATATCCACATTCTAAGGTAAAGAGATTGTTTTGTTTTTTCAGTTTTGTGTTTGGATGTATGGAAGCACCTTCCTGCCATAAAAGATCAAAAGTCAGGAATTGTAAAAGTAAAAATTGTCAGGGAATGTCAAAATGAAGTCAGGTCTAGGGTACAATCAAAAATGTGACTTTGTTATAAGAGAGGTTTAAATTCTGACAGAAAATGATGAGACACTAAATCCTTAATCAGAAAAAAACAGTGGGTGTGTATTTAATGCCTTACACCACATCCAGTTTTATTCTGCTCATTCCTGTTTGCTTTTACAAACATGTTTCTCTCTTATCTGTTGCTATATAGTTTTATTTTTTTCATAAGTCTCCACTACAAGAATACATTTTTTAGGCTAAATTAATGACTCAAAGAGCAAAGAATCATGCACAATCTGAGATACATACTTTTCATATTCACATTTTCACAATGAAGCACAGTATCTGTGAGGAAATATTCTAAACTTAAGCATCACCTACTAGCATTTTCCGGGCCTTTTTGTTTATGTTACGCTTTTATTTTTTCACAAATAAAACAGAACACAGGTGTCAACATGGACCTAAGTATGGTACCTCTGTCATGTGATATCAGGTGCAAGCAAGTTTACTTAAAAACGCTGTGAGATATGGACGAAAACAAAACAGAAAATTGTAGTACAGCTATGTACAACATTAGTCTTCTTTAGGTACCCTATTTAGCACTTACGAGCAGTATATAAACTGCTAATAAATGGTTAATAATGCACCGTAATTGGTTGTAAGCACAGCTGTGGACACCCATCACTAGAGGTTGGTGTATAAACCGATTATGAATGATAATATTGTAAAACACAATAACAATATTATAAAATATGTCTTCATAGGACCAATTGTAATTGTTGACAAAAACTTTATATTAGTAAACACTTAAAAAATGTTCTTGTAACTGTTTAGAACTACAATATAGGGTGTTTTAAATGAACTGTTTGTGTACTGCTTATAAATGCTAAATATGGGCACTTAAAGTAAATCATTCCTGACTTTTCTTTAGTTCTAGTTTTCTTGGAAAGAAAGGGCTTCCATACATTGTCCCTAAATACTATTATTATTATTATTAATTATAAATAAATTCTCTGGGAATTGTCCTCCACTATCAGTTGTTATGCTAACAGTGCAAACACCTTTTTTTTTTTTCTTAGAATAGAACAGGAAGTATACATGGGACCTTTGCTCCACTAAAATACCCAAAACAAACTTTGAAATCAGAATATTTTTATTTTGGAGTTTAGAACATGAGCTGTGAAACTGATCTGGAGTCAGTGAAGGACAACTGAATGCATCCTTTTGCTATTTTGTGTCTTGTACTTCCCGTCACCTGTTGAGTCCCCTTACTTCCCCTTATGCCTTTCAAAACAACAGCCCTTAATTTTGTTGCTGTATGATCGTGAGTGAAGGCAACATTTTCTGTTTCTGCCCTCTTTGAGACAATGAGAGTGGAGGAGGAAGAATCTCACTTTCTGGTTCAGTTCACTGCTGCTTTCAGATGAAAATGTCCACACCTAGTTAATAAGAATAAACTCTGTTTTTAATGTATACTAGGATGGTGAATTTCCCTAGATGCAGTAAGCCCATTTTCACTTTAATTCATCTGCATCGTTGGTGTTTAGAAAGTATTCACAAAAAAGAAAACCCAATCAAATCCAGGTGTAAATGCTGGTGAACTATAAGCACCCATTGAATGTCGTCAGGGATGCATTTCATAATTATAACAACCTTGTAAGCATTGATTTGGTCAAATTATGTTTGGACATCTAGTTTAAATCAGGAAAAAAAAGTTTTAAAGGTTAGTTTTTTGTCATCTACATTACATATAACTATTATATAAAACAGCATGTAGTACTTCACTCTGAAATAGTCATTTAAACACTGCTGAAACCACAGTTACAGCTCTGCCTATATGGTCTTTTGATCTGTCGATCACCAAATTAGTGCTTACTGGTAAGGTTGTAAAATAAAGTTTAGGATTTTGATGGATGGAGTACCTGCGAGACAAGAAGTCAAAATAAAAATATTTGTTTTCAAAGAGTTATAATCTTATAAAGTTATAAAATTTTTAGTTAATCTTACGTTATCATTACCAACTGAATTAGACTGACAGGCTAAACTATTCAAGTAAGATCCAGTATGTAAACTGTAAGTGTAAACTGCAACACATTGTCCACATTCTAACAGTGCCTGTTCACAAAGAAATGCATCGCTCAATAGAATCACTTTTGACCAACAGAACAATGCAGCTTTTCTCCGTAGCATTATTGTAGTTTTTTCTTCCCAAGTGCCCATGGGGGAAAATGTTTCTCCCCTGCATTGCTCCTGTTATCTGTCTGAACGAGGTCTTGAGGGGCCTAAACGGTCTTGCTGTGGAAGAATCAAATCAAACTAGAGAGTTAAAAAAGTGAACCGATCTCTGTCAAGTCACATTAGATCAACGTTCAATCATATGATACAAATAAACAGTCATATCCAAAACAATTACCAAGCAGCAGTTCAGAACTGAGTATGAAAGCTTGCAGTGTGGAGAGAACCTTGGTGTTTTTCTTCCTCCTGTTGTTTGCCACAAAGAGGAGACTTTGATGTTTTGAATTTTGGTTGATTAAACTCGACAGAAAAAAAAAAAAAAAAAGCTTGTTAGCATCTTTAGCCTTTTCGGTTTCGGCAGCTTGTGATGCTAACAAGCGGATTTCATTGCAGATGAATGATTTTCCTGTTGAAGAAACTGACCTGAAGTGTTGTAGTAGTTTCCGGTGTGTGGGGAAGTGAGGGACTGTCAAGTGTGTGTCCGTCCAGAGAGCAGCCTCAGACTGTGAGGATTATTTTTACTGGCTGTTTCTCTTCCTGTTGAGGAAATTCTACAGAATCTGTTCTTGATTTTATTTTGTTGAATTTAAAGCACACTTCATTATCAGAAGAAAATCCATCATCCTGAATCTGTCAGAGAAGCTACAACTCTGTTTTTCATCTCTTATGAGATTAAAGTTGGAATCAAAACTGGAAATGTTTTTAATTTTTTTTTTTTCAGCCCTCATTCCGTCTACTTCTCAATCTTAAATCATATTACACTATGTTGATTGCTACCTTTTTGTATTTTAATATTTGTTTTATTCCACATTTTTTGCCGCCTAATGATGTGCAATGGTTGAGAATTTTTCAGTTGATTTTATTTTAATTTGTTTCATTTTCACATATGATGAAATGCTTTATCTGAGCAGATTTTTTTTTAACTTTTAGTTTAGACGTGACATTCCTGCAGCGCGGCAGAGCAGATGTTTGAGAACTTTAATAACAATAAAGGAATGTATCTCATATATGGCTGGACTGTTTTAATTATACATTATTTTATCCTCATTTTAATTCGCTTTAACTCACCTTCTGTTGAAAATGTAAGGCTTTTGAATGCATTTTTAAATACCATTTTTTTTAAAAGCCTTTTAGCTAGTGTGTTATTAATGGTAATGTTTTATATTCTATTCTTTTGCTCAATTTAATTATTGTTAATATTATTATAAAGATCCAGTGTGAGATTAATTAAGTGATTAAGATTAAGTGACATCTAGCAGTGTAGTTGCTTATTGCAACTACTAACTTGCCTCACCCTCCTGTTCCAAGTGTGTAAGAAAAACTACGGCATCCACAAAAAATGTAACATGAAAACATGAAAAGCCCTATCTAGAGCCTGTGTTTGGTTTGTTCTGGTGGCCTCTCTGGACAAAAGCAGTAGTTTGATGCTATAAAACAACAGAAATAATGATGATTGTTCTACAAATATCTGCTTTCAGTGGGATATTAAATATTCAAGTTTTCAGTAGACAGCAATTTTTTTAAATGTTATACATGTAATGTTACATCCTTAAGAATGAAATGAAAACTTATGACACCTAGACTCACAAGCTAGTCTCTAAACAATTTGTTCAGTCCATTAAATTGGTAGTCGCTGAGATGTCCGATATCCAATGTCTGGTATCACAAGACTATAAGTATATATATATAAGTAGTAATCTACTTGTGTAGATAAAATACAAAACAAGCTATGAACCAAAAAACAAAGACTTTTCCTAAGATAAACAAGATGTTAAATATTGAACAAGATGTTGAAAGACGTTGAGTACGTTTGAGGCTCCATAAGAAACTCCTTGTTATCTGTCTCGGCTAATTTGTGCTTAAAAATGTTTCTCTATAATGCTCACTGCTGATGTAGTTCAGAGGTGTTCAAGGACTAGATCGACCCCCACAATATGCAAACTGAAGATTAAGAACACTCATTCCTTCCTGGATCTTGGAACGTGCCTTTAGTTACAAGGTAATGCACACTCACACATACAGGCACCCGCACCTTGGCTGCGTACTGTTTCTGTCACCTGTCCTCCGTCACTGTAATCACCTGCGTGTTCTGTGAAAAGTGTGTTGAGTTGGTTTGTCAGAATCTCAAAGTGATAATCAGAGTATCGAGACTGGAAAAGGTTCACACAGGCTGTCAGGAGGCTTCACTTCAGCTCTGCATACTGTACATACACACACACACCACACTCACACACACTGAGCATATAGGCAGAGTGCTGTCAGAAAGTGGGCCGTGCATTACTTTGCATTGTGGCTGTCACAGGATCGACTAGCTGTCATATTCAGGCTGCAGGTTTCGGTGGAGCTGAACAAATTCACATCTGACTTTATTAAGACTCCAGAGCAATATTTAGTCCCATTTTTGTGTGTGTGTGTGTGTGTGTGTGTGTGTGTGTGTGTTGTGTGTGTGTGTGTGTGTGTGTGTGTGTGTGTTGTCTTTTTGCTGATGCTGACTGAATCAATTTTGTTATTTTTGCAATTTGTAGAGTTGTCATAGTTTTAAAATGGCTCAGGTCCTCTACCAGAGGCCTGGGAGCTTGAGGGTTTCTGCACAGTATCTTAGCTGTTCCTAGGACTGCGCTCTTCTGGACTGAGGCTTCTGATGTTGTTCCTGGGATCTGTTGGGAGCCACTCCCCAGTTTGGGGATCACTGCCCGAGTGCTCCTACTACCGCGGGATCACGCTTGCCTTGATCTT